ATAGGACCTTCCAGGATGTTGCTATATGATAAAAAATATGTTGTGATTCCTGAATGTTTAAATAAGAGGATACAAACTAGGAAGGTTATGGTAACATTATATTTGCTGCTGGTGGTCCTGGTATCCTGTGTGGTATGAAGGAAAGAAGAGACTACAAAGAGTCAAGTGAATAATTAAAGGCCTACACTTCATTTAGCTTATCCAAGTGAGACTTTCATCGGAGTCTGTAGGTCTGAACCGAAATATAGTAGAAGATATCTCTTCCACATAGCAAGTAATCGTACAACAAGATTCAGTGGCTGGAAGTTGAATGCAGACCAACAGCTAAAGAAACAAATAAACAAACAGAAAGAATTATTTTTTGACAGTAAGGACAGCCTATCTAGAATTGCAGGGGACAGTGGCTGGGATTCACTTCATCTCATTTCAGCTGGCTAAAAGTTGAATGTTTGCTCTAAATTAGTGTGAGTGCCCTGTATTGCTAACAGATATCCTCCAGAGAGTGATTCACCCTTTCTTAACATTTATCTTGTGATGCAATGAATTGCTTGCTGGAGCTGCGTATGTCTCCACTTATTGTAAACAGAGCCCATACGACTGCAGTAGACCGGATACCTGTGATAAACAATTAGATAAGATGAATTCTATATACCTATAGTTGTGTGTGTGTGTGTGTGCGCGGGCATATGTGTGTGCACGTGTGTGTGTGTGTGTGCATATATATATATGTATGTATATACACATATATAAAAGGATATATCTACACACGCACACACAGATAAAAACATATTTATATATCATGGAGCTCAACCATATCTAATAGGCCTGAAGGTAAAAATTTATTCCGGGAAGCCCTTTGGTGTGAATCTAGGAACCTAAGTTTTAGCAGCTTTCAGCAATGCAGTTCTCAAAGCTTGTGTTTCAGTTTCTTGCAGATATACGGTACCTTCAATTTAGTAAACCATGTAACTTCTAATTTTCCATATAATTGTACATGACTGAGTTCAGATACTCCAAATGGAAGAATAATCTTTGTCCTCATCTGTCTTTGAAGGCTTCATGGGGAGACCAGACAGGGCAACATTATGCCAATAGAGCTCATGGAAATTTTCTGTCAATAAGAGCAACTAATTGTAATCATTACCATCTATTCATCTTAAGTGAGTTCATTACAATTTAATTATCTGTTTTTTACAAATTAAAACTGATAACAATTTTTGCATAAACCAGGTTGTCTTAGATCAACGCAAGAAAAAAAGATCAAACTCTTTTTGGAAGAAAATATCTGAAGTATGAAGCAATATGTGCATGATGTCACTCCACTATTTATGAGGATGAGGTAATTCTTCTAGATCATTTATAATTTCTTCTCTTTAAAACAGAGATCATCCTTTTGTAATTCCCAAGTGAGAAAATTTTAGTGGGAAGGTGTCATTTGCAGCAGCGCTATGTGACTCCTGCTTTTAAGCCACTATTTAATTCATGACTTTGCTATTATTCTTGTCTACTTGCATTTCTTCAAAGCAATCCATTTCATTAATAATAGAAAAATCTCTGTCCTTAATATACTTTATTTTTATGCGGCAAAGTTCTCATGGTTGACATTTCTCTTATGTCCTTTATGCACCTGTTTCTATTTACATATTTTAAGTCACTGAAGTCTAAGCATACAGTGTAATCTGAAAGATTCAAAAGGATATCATCAATGTAGACTGATACTGCAAGAAGATATGCAGAATTATTTGCTTCACAGTGCTGGTGTAAGCTTCTTATAAACCACTTGCGGTCAGTGTCCAGGTTTTGTTCGTCCCATATGCTACATCAGAATACCCACCCTTCTCACATGTCTGTCTTAAGCAATTTCTTTGACTGCATTCTCTCTGAAGCAAAGGTCAAATATTATCACCATGTATATTTAAAAAATGTAGGAATACAGATAGTAATATAGCTGGATGAGAGATGAGAGAAGATTTTTGCAAAATGAAAAAGAAGCAGAAGCTGCACTAACAGCTTGATGGCAACTCTGGTTGCCGTATCCATGCCAGACAGCGGAATATACTTGCATAGCAAGTAATTCTCCAAAAGGGTGTTGAATCACCTTCAAATGACTGAGAAAGTGTTATTATTTTGATCTCGCATTGTGACAGAACCGACGTCAATCTGCATTGTATGACGTATTGTACAAGCATAGCAAGAGGGGCAGCCCCACCTAGAAGAAACTCAGTCCAAATAATCAGGAGATGGAAGGAGAATCAGAGGTTCGAAGAGTTCAAAGAGTCTCAATAAGATGAAGTGACTGAGCAAAGGTCACAAAGCAGATAAGCAAGAACATACTTAGGTCTCCTATCTATAGAGTTAATGATCTTTTGTTAACCACATGACTTCGTTGGACTTCAAATAACAGTGCTGCATCGTACTCCTCTTACATTGACTGCTGCGTAGAAGACAAGACAAGAAGGAAAGCATTTGAGAAGTACGCCTTTAGGTGCAATGCCCTGCAGATGCCATGACATGAAAAGCTGTGAAAAAGCAAGCAAGCAAACAATATACGGGGCATCAGCTCCAATAATACAGGGAAAAATCTTCTTGGTCCTTTGGTTTGTGCAATTTCTTCTAAGAAAATAGTATCTTCAGGTAAGGTATCTTCAACTGTCCTAATCTTTATCCTCCTCTAACCAATATTCTCAGTTATAAGCATCCATTTCTCTCAGATCTACTGTGATCCTTACATAGCATATAAACACTGGGCATTTTTAAACCATGAATCTAACGGTCTGCGACAGGGCTAATGCTACCTTGATTTTTAGGCATATATAAGAATGCCTATGTTTTTTCCAGGTAGGTGCACTTACTTTTTTTCCTGTATTGTCTCATCCTGAGTGGCTTTTTGAAAAACTAAAAATGAAAATAGGACAAGTAATATTAATAAGAACAGGGATCTAGGTGTTTAATGCAGTTTAAATAATAATATATTATATCAGCCTTTATACCTTACATAAGATCCCTCTAACTCTCAGAAGAGCACTGCTATCTATATCTGAACTCAGTACTGATGCACAATACCATGTTTGCAAAAAGGAGAATAATAAAAGCACCTGTTACTGTCCTTTTCTCATATAGCTTAGGGACATACCTAATTGCTTTACTGTTGTCATCTGTTCTTTGGTTGGAGGAAAGAAATCTTATTTGCTGTGTTAATACCACTTTGTGGACTCAAAACACATGAGCTCTTGCCCAGGAGATGCTAATGATTACTTATGTCATGCATTATAAAAGCTTGAAGGTATGAGATAGTAAAATATGTCAAATCTGATCTAAAGTTCCAAATGATTTGATATCAGTTGGTAAATAGCTGCACGGAGTCACATGCAATTTGAGATGGTTATCCAAACCTAACTTGATAGGTGATATAATTTATACTACACAACAGTGAGGCATAAACATTTCTCAGACAGAATATTCATGAACTACTGCCCATTCTTTGACAATCCTTAATTCATCTGGGGTTTGAATAAATGCAGCAAAACTTCTTCCCGTCTAGGACAAAGACAGAGACACCATCACTGAAGTGCAAAAGAATTAAGGGAGTTTCATGCTAAGTGATGCTACAGAAAGAACAGCTTCATATCTCTACTCACAACTCTACCCAACTGTAACTCACTGCAGTCAAGACGTCTCTCAGTCATATTCCGATACTCTGCAAGTCCATGTTTGCTATAGAGTCCAACATATCTGCTAGAGTGTCCTTTCACTTGGTAAAACATAAGACTAGGCCCTAACTACTGAAAAGTTAGTGAGATTAAACACAGTTGTCTGTCATTGCAATGAACAGATCTGCATGTCTAGTTATGATCAACAGAAAGATCTAGAAAACAAAAGATATAGTTGAAGGAAAATATTATTTCACAGTCAGGTACAGAACCCTTACAAAAATAGCAAAATTTCTGGATTATTTAATACAAAAGAAAAAGGTAGACGATAACTCGGAACACAAGTGGCAGGAAGAACTTTATTTTCTTTGTTCTTCCTTTTTCTTTTCA